ACCGCGACAGACGTCACCTCCACGATATTAGCTCTCTCGTCTCGCCCCAGGCACCACCGCCACCGCGACACGCCGGCTTCAGCCTGCGCTCTCCGACCCAGTCTGACTTCCAACACCCGCACGCGCACTCGCACGCGCACTCGTCGTCCGCCTACTCGTCGCCACATCATCAGCAGCCGCCATCGCACCATCACGATCATCGCTCGCCGCCGTCCTCGTCGCGATCCCATCAGCCCGTGCTCTCCCATCCGACCCCGTTCAGCTCGTCTTCGGGCCCCGTCGGTCCTCTCGCGTCCACGCTGCCAGCTCTCGCGGGAGCCTCGTCGTCACCCTCATCGGGCGCCCACCTGCAAGGCCCGCCTCTGTCGCCTCTGCACCCGCCCAGCGGTGCTTACTACCCCCCGCCCGAGTCGCAGTCGCAGTCCCTGTCCCAGTCGTCGCAGAAAACCTCGACCCTACGCGATGCCAAGCCGACGACGAGCAGCTATTACGACCCGCTGACCGATACCACAAGAGAGAGGAGGATATCAGATGCAGCCGCGCCGCGGTACCCTGCATCATCAGTGCAGGCATCACCACCAAAGGTTTGAGGCTTCGCCGCCGCCCCCCCCTGGTTCTTCTTCTCTCTGTCCGACCCTTCCGTCTGCGTTTTGCCGTTACTCCTTTCGTCCTCAGGAATGCCTCCATCCAACCCATGCCCGTCCCCCTTTCTGCATCTTGTTCCCTTGCCTACCCATGCCTACCCACCTACCTCTGCAGCAGCACTCGTCTTTGTCTTGGCATTCACTCTCGTCCTGCCTCGCCTACCGACTTTGCTTGCTTGTGCTGGGCTCCTGCCCATTGAACCAAGACAAGCCAAAGGGTGAAGACCAGCTGGCAGGCACGCAAAGAAAAAAACGTGCACTGGGCTTTGCACCGCACCTGCCCATCCCCCGAACCTGATCCAGATAAGAAATGCGGATTGCGAACACACAAGATTGCTTGGGCTTGGGCTTGGGCTTGGACTCCCCGTTTCTTCCCCCCATTTCTCCCGTCACGACCTCAATGACACGAGGCGCGCCCCAGAAAAATTAAACCCCATCCATCCTCCCTTTCCTTACCTTGATCCACGTCCTCCCGACCCTCCTCATCCATCGCCCCAATCACCCATCTCCTGCGTCCCATCGCCATAGTTGTCCCTGTCCATCAAACGAAACGCAACCTCCCTCGCTGACATTGCATCAATCATCAAACAGCCGCGCGACCCGTATCCCTACTCGCAGGCTTCCACGCCTGCCGACCATCAGCAGCAGCAGCATCACGCCTATTATCGAAACGGCAGTCACGCCTCGCCAGGCCCCACGACCTACTCGCCACGGAGTCCCGTCTCGCACGCGCACGCCGCACCGCCCCCGGCCGGTTCCATCAGTCCATCCATCCGCCCGCCGCCGCTGCACATGACCTCGCCCAACGCGAGACGAGCTGCATCTCCTGCTGCACACCACGCGTCCTCGAATGGTACCTCACACATCGTGCCTCCCATGGCCAAGTCCGACGTCTCGCCTCTGAAGGCGCCGGCGGCAGCTCCGGCCAGTGTATGTGAACGCTCCCTTGTTTGGCCGACAGAACCGTGAAGCTAACCTTGTATTTTTTTTTTCTCTCATTCAACAGACCCCGAGTCGTGCCGACCCCATGTCCTTTTCCAACATCTTGTCGAGTTCCGAGCCTGTCGCCAAGCCTAGAGCGCCATCGCCCCCCCGGCTGCT